TCTGTGCTTTCAGTGTCCCTCTTGCTGGCAAACAGGTTGCATGGAGGAGGAAACAGATGCAGAAGGGACAAAAGCTAGACCTACAGCATTGCAGAGGAGGATTAGGGGATTGGACTGGAACAAGGTGGGGAGGGGGGCAGCGCACCACAGGGGCAGAGACTGGCGACTGGCAAGGAGGTGAATAGGGGGACTGTGAACCAGAGGAGCAGGGGAAAGGTGGTGTGGAAGTGAGGAAACATCTGGCAAGGAGTTCGAGTGTGGAGTAGAACTGATGCTGGCTGGGAAAAGAGACTGGAGACAAGGAGCTGGGGGAGATGAGGACATAGAGATGGGATGAGAAGCCCAGGGAAGGAGACTGGGACCGAGCCAGTGGTAACAAGGAACACAGGTGAGGGCGGGGGAAAAGAGAGACCAAGGAATTGGGGAGAGGACTGGGACCAGCTGGGCAAGTAGACTGGAGATAAGGGGCCACAGGATAGAGCAGAGTGAGGGAGACTGGGAACCTGGTGGGGTGAGATCAGGACTCACTGGACAAGGAGACTGATGAGTAGAGACTGAGACTAACTAGGTGAACACAATGGGACTGGGACAAGGAGACTGTGGTGCAATAGAGAACAGACTTGTGACAAAAGAATCTGTGCCTATTAGAGCACAGCCAAAGTGTCTCATTCCCCTCTAGTGCTAGTCCACATAGCAATAGTAGTTTGTCATCCTCTATCGGTTACTTCAATAGCTCAAGCGGCAGGAGTCTCAGTTTTGGATCTAAAGGTTTCATCCTACTAAGGATGTCATAAGATGCCAGATAATGGCATCTGTTTTTTCAGGGTGTGTTTTTTTTAAAGCTAGGAAATTACTCAAAAAACTACATTAAAAGAAAGACGTTTCCTTCACTACACAACCCTAATTCACCCCAAGGCAGGACAATCCTGAACACTGAATGAGGCAGAGGGCCTGTGGAAAAAAATAGTATGTAATCATGTAATTGAAGACTGCACAGGCCATCATAATTCTTCTGCACGCTCACTGCACCATCTTCAAAGGTTCAGATCTCAGGTCAAACAAAGCTAAATTCCCTGCAGAAGAAGGAAAGGATTGCTCCTCGAGGATGGCTATTTCCATGCCAAAAGACACCTTTCAAGATGAAGCAGTTTTGCCTGCAAGACTGTTCAAAACATGGTCCTTTCATTCAATGGCTCAGCCATTCCAAAAGAACTCATCTTCAGGCAGAGACCAAGCACTGAAAAATTCTGCCCCTAAATTTACAAGTTGCATACACGTTATGAGTGACTGAAGCAGCATTCCATTTTTTTAGCGTCACTCTGATGCACCAAAACCTGGTTAGCAGGTGATGACACTATGTTCAGTTATTTTGACTAAGTCTTACCAGAAAATATAAGCACATCATCCAAAAGATCATAATAAGCCAACATAGCCTGGCTGGTTGCATGGTCCTTTCCATCAATAGAAAATACTAAAAGGGAGGTACCACAGTCTTTCAGAGCGTAAATAATCAAATTCTGAGTGACATTTCAAAGCATTCTTAAAATGAGCCTAGCTAATGGCTTAGGAAATTGTGTCTTTGAAGAATTAGTTTCACTCTTGCTAGAATAAAATTGACATTCAGGAATTTGAGAAAAGTTCCATTCATGATATGAACCACATAAAATTGCTACTGGATATTTCTCGCTGCACTTGTTAACGAAGACATCAGCAAGCAAAAAAAGTTACAGATGGCAGCCGTCAAGTCCAGCTATGCCCCCACTCCACCCATTCATTCTATACCCAGCACAATAACCACTCCATTTTCTTTTGTCTCTCTGGAACAGATCCCATAAATTCGAACATGAGAGAGAGACTTCAAGCACCAATTACCTTCTTTAGATACCACATAATGGTGGACTTTCAATGCCCGCTGCCGGCCCCGCTCAGCCCGGTGAATGGAACCTACAGCCGGCAAAAGGCCACCGGGGGTCCCGGCCATCAGCCCTGCTCAGCCTGCTGCCGGCCTGGGATACCAGCTGCCGGCCCTGCTCATCTCGCTGCTGGTCTGGGGTTCCAGCCTCCCGGCCCCCTGCCAGCCATGGTCCGGGCCTCCGGCCCTGTCGGCCTGGTGTACCAGCAGCCAGCCCAGGGCTCTGCTCCTGGCCTGGTCCCAGCGCTCTGCAGCCCTTATCAAAAGTTACACTACAGTTAGCTTAAAAACTTGAAAACTTAAAAATGTTTGTATATTACAGTAATTGTTAAAACATGTATAATGTTAATAAATACATAGGTTTGATGAAACAAAGTAATTGTACTTATGTGCCTGCGCTTAATTTGTGTTTTCGATGATTTACCTTCTAAAAAAATCTTGCGTGTCTCGCCCCCACAGAAAGGGAATCTCGCACCCTCAGGGGGTGCGTGCACCCTAGGTTAAGAACCACTGCACTAAACTGATAAGGTCAGCCTTCATCACAGCTGCTCTGCGAATGCCACCAATAAACTTGAATCGTTTTTCATTATGTCCCTCAGCAAACTATCTTTGAAGAAATCCTCAGTCCTCAAAGAGATCCCAGTTGCTGTGGTACTTCCTAAGCATCTCAGATATAGGAGAACTCTGCATCTTGTATTTGCAATGTTCACGAGAGTAGTGCGGAGCTCTGCAGGCTCCAGATAAGGATGTTTGGCACACTGGTGCACCACGCTTTACATCAACACAAGCACTCCTGGTGAATACACGCAGCAGCAATGCAAGTAGCCAAGCATGCACACTCTTGAGTGATATACAAACTTTGGCAGGCATATACCCGCCAATGCCACTTGTGTTGACCAAAGTTTGTAACGTAGACATGGCCAAACGCAATTCTGTTCAGATGGAGTAAAGTAGCACACTGTAGGTGCCTCCAACAACTGCTAAATAAGGTATAGCAAGATCCATGGTCTGTGACATTCATGAGCATTAAAATAAAAAGTTGCTGAAGTACAGCACGTTTAAAGTACAACAGGAATAATGGCTCGCTATTTTGCCAACGATAAACTCCCAGGGGCCTAATTTGTGTTCTTCTAATTGTACCATGTTAATGCATTACGAACTTTGTAGAGCAACTCCAACACGATTCACGGTGTCAAGTTATTACGTCAATGAATATGGGTTACAGGAAAGAGTCTCATATGCCTGCATAGGCAGAGGGTGCCACCAGGGGAAGAAAACCTTATCCAACCTCAAAGCATCATCACCCTGCTGTAGACGTGTACATTGTAGGTCTAGCCTACAGACAGACATATTTCTCACCAGCAAGGGGAGATCAGAACAAAAGCTTGCAGCATGCATTCGCAGAGCACCAGCTAAGGGTGTCACGAACAGGGAACACCCTAGAACAAAACCATTCAACTCAAGTCAGAATTATTACTCTTGCAATAAAGCATTATTGCAGTTCAATAGATTCTTCAGTATATCAGATGCTACCAACCTGAGTTTAAGTTACAAACTAATGCTACCTTATTAGATTTTCCTGTTTCTACTGTTGCACTAACCGATTTCATGACCACTGTACGTCCACACTCACTACCCTTCAGCTTTAACAGGGCATCATGTCAAGGTATTTTCCCCATACACTGGATCATTTCCCCTAGCAACATTATCACTTATTTATCCTTTGAAAGCTCTAAAGTGCAATCTTTTTCCTTCTGACATTTCTTTTCCATTTCCACATATACGCTGGTTTGTTGTTTTACTGTTTGGCTTGGGGGGGGGGGGGGAAGAGGGCACTCGACAATTACAAGCTTTACAAAGACATAAAAACAAATCAGGTCACATTCTAGGCCTACTAAGCTTGACGTTTTCTTTTAATTAAATTAAAAAGTAAGTACCATAAAGAGAACCAACGTGGCACTGGCAATAGTTTCTCTGTAGGCCACATCTAGAGTAATGTTCAAATGCATCTCAAGTAGCACACCAAGAGATGAAGCAGTGTCAGCAGTGCAAGGGATAAGATTTTTACACTGCCTATATAATCAAGAAACTCCTTACTGTTATAGAGCAATTAAGCTTTCATCTAAACAGTTATTTTAACCATGGAAACATTAATAGGCTGTTTTTCAGTACATATTACAAAGGTCCAGCTCTTAGAAGCCACACAGACTCTGCTTAGTTATGCTTATTGCTTCAGAGGGAAAATAATGAAGCCTTTATTAACAAGAAAGAAAAATTCCATGTAGTTAAGCTGCCGCTTCTAATTCGGTTGGCAAATTTTCCTTTATTGTATCATGGCAACATGGTTAAAGCGAGTCACTATGGTTGGAGTCCTTCCCCTCCCCTGATGGAGGCACACAGTGGGTGGCAGCAAAAGCAAAGGTGTATAGTGGGGTTGGCTGCACATTCAGGGCACGTCACTAACTGAATGATTCCAGATGGCCTCAAGGTAAATACAGTGGGGTCCACCTTTGCTTAGGGTGTGCTGCTAAGTGCAGTGCATGCATTAGCTGGCTTGAGGCTTAGCCATACCCATTGCCTGCTAGCTAACAGATCACACCCCCACTTGGGGCGGAGGAACAGCAACCAGTACAGAAGCCAGGCCCACTCCTGATGCTCTCCTGGGTGCAAAGTAAACACTGTGCTTTGTTGCTTGCATAGGGATTGCATTAAAAAAAAAAAATGAGCTTGAGTTTTTTCCTCTCAGGCACAGCAGATGGGACTGTGGGGGGAAGAGACAAAGCTTCTTGGAAAACCAGTGTGTGAGGTGGACACAGGAGACTCCTATTCCAGTGCACTGGCTAAGGAGTCACTCTCTTCGTGGGTTATTTGTTTTTGTTGCGTCTCTCCTCCTGCCCCCACAACACCGGATCTGGATCTTTGGCCGTTAAGATACATGCACATGCTCACCTGAGAGTTGGCGATGCCGTTTGGAGCTTTGGGGTATATTTACTAATATTAGTATAGACATTTAATTTGCCCACTGGCCAAATATTCTCAGTACCCAGTAGAATTCATGTTGGGGGACAGGATTTCTGTTTTAAATTACCTTAAAATCTGAAGTTGTACTTGATATGTCAACGTTTTCCCACTATCATCGTTATGTATTTGTACCGCTATAGCACCTTGGAAACCTAGTGAAGGTTCAGGGCCCCATCGTGGTCGGTGCTTTACAGACAGAGAAGATGATCCGTATGATGAAGAGCTTTCAGTCTAAAATAAGAGGACAAGTTTTCACATGATGTAAGCTGGCATTGGTTGATTTACCACAATGGAGCTACACCAGTAGAGAATTTCACCCAACATCTGAAGTGGACTGGAGCAAATAATGCCATTGGAGTATATAGCAGTAACAGATTGGAAAATATGAAGCGAAGAAATATTTTTTGATTTTTGCTTTGTGCTGTTTGGAACACAAAAATTGCCATGCACTTCATGGCTTGTGGAGTGAAGAGTTAATCATTATTAGTTGAAGTTTACATTTCAGACCACTAGCGACAGACCATTATAAAAAACTCTGTCTAAGATGCCTTCTTATTTATAGTGCAAGTTCTATTTGTCTTTGCAGTGTTTCTTCTATTGCTGGTCCAGATTCGAACTGAAACGAGTTACGTAAAAATGGTTCACCCTTAATGATACAGAGTTTCTACTGAGGTACTTCCCAAGAAAACGACACTCACCCTTTCTAACAATTATTCACCTATGATAAAAATAAACATGGATTGTAGTACCTTCAATTTTCTCATCAATCACTACGTAGCTTCAGTTAGAAACGTACTGAGGCAGTTGAGATGTTATTAGAAAACCACCACCAAGGAAACTTTATATGTTTTCCTGACACAGCTGCTCCTATTTATGGTGTAAAGTGAAGTTATACATTTTTTCCTCCAGAGATGCAACAGCTAAGTAACGTGGTCGAAGCCATAATTTGGGTCTTATGACCGGAGTATATTTTACTAAGTTTTGTTTTTAGGCCTTGTCAACAAAAAGTAAAAAAAAATCTCATTTATTACAGATATGAGAGAGAAATGCATGTGAGTGTTTAAATGTGTGATGACAACCAGCTTGAGATGTTAAAGGTGAGAAAAGTTTAAGAAATATGTGATTACTAGTTGCTTTTGGTTTTTATAATTGATGCCAGCAAACAAAGACTGGTGAAGTACATTCAAGTATCCATTAGTATTTTGCTACCTGTCACTGACAGATAATCCCTATTATAATGTTCCTACCCAAAAATAACAAGGTAAATCTCACTAAACTGAAAATAGATTATTTATATGTGATAAAGTCACATACCACTGCCAGCTTGTATGCAGCTCAGGCCTTTTATACCCTTTTTAATATGGACACACTAATAAAACAACGCCGAAACAACTAAATATTGTATATGCATAAGTGCACTTAAAGTTACATACAAGTAAGATTCTGCTCTCAATTATACCAGACAGAATTTGGAGCAGTTCTGCTGAAAGAAGTGGACTTATTTTAGATACTCTCTTACATTGGTGCGTATTTTGCCCAATACATACAGACTGGTTTCTCTCTCAGCATCAGTAGCATATATTCCTGTAGTACACCTCTACCTCAATAGAACGCTGTCCTCGGGAACCAAAAAAATCTTACCATGTTATAGGTGAAATCGCGTTACATCGAACTTGCTTTGATCCACCGGAGTGCGCAGCCCTGCCCCCCTGGAGCGCGGCTTTACCGTGTTCTATCCGAATTCATGTTATATCAGGTCGCAGTATATCGAGGTAGAGGTGTATATATACTTGGTCTGGCCATATATAACTCATGTTATGCTTGTACAAATGCAGAAGCAAGCACACACTTATGTAAACAAAGCTACACAGAAATATCACATACGCTGTTGGCAGCTTTGGAGCCAGTCAGTATTTATACATGCCTTATTTCTTGCTCCACAAGACAAAGCTGCCCAAAAGGAGGCATGTTCTAGTAGTCCGATCTTGGGACTGAAAGCTGAAAACTTCTCAACTTCCTTTCCTTGCATGGATACTTGCTCCCATAGTGTCCTTGGCAAGTTATTTAACATCCCCTTATCTTGTTTCTCCCCATCATATGGATTACAATATGTACTTGACCCAGATGGATGCTGTGAAGTTTATTGTTGGTAAAGCACTCTGAAAAGAAAAATTATTTTAAAAATATTTTGGATTGTCAAAGAACAAAAAACATAACCATGATCAAATCAACAGGGCATGTCAATGGACCACAACATTTTGTTGTATATCAGGAGAGATCAGATAAAAAGCTGTATGTGGAGTTGTTGCTTACGTAGCATATATGCACAAACTAAGTGGCCTGCTTAAGATGCTAGTTTGTGCTAGGTAGTAGTAGTATTACTAATATTGTGTTACTAATATTTTTATTCAACAAACTAAGGCTATGTTTACAGTATGAACCTTACAGCGGCACAGCTGTACCGCTACAGTTGTGTCGCTGTAAGGCCTCTCGTGTCGCTGCTCTGTGCTGGCAGGAGCGAGTTCTCCTTCCGGCATAATTAAACCACCACCCAACAAGCGGTGTTCGCTATGTCAGCAGGAGAGTGTTTTTTCCACACCCCTGACCGACAAAAATTTTACCCACAAAAGTGGTAATGTAGACAAAAGCCCAAGTGGCCTGCTATTGTGTCTGTCTCCTTCCCTTGGTGAAGCGTGCGGCCACGAGAAATACCAGATTGCAGATCCCCAAATTTCAAATTTAGTCAGTGGTAAATTTGCTATTTCAACCTCCAAAAGGCAAGAGTTATTAAATAGCTGTGCAGTCAGTTGCCTCTTTTTTCTCATGATAAAGACTATGGGACACATTCATCTGGGGCTTTCATAGAAAAAGTGTTCACGTCTAAAAGGACAAGTTACACTGAGTCAAGTTCTCTTCCTCAGAAGGACTTTCGCCTTGAGGCAATCGATAGGTAAAGCTGACCGAAGAAAAAGCTACATTGTGAAATACTATCTTGATTGAGATCATTGTCATCCAATTCATCTGCTGGAAATATGAACTTTGTGGAAGAAACAGAGGAGACATGAAGGTAGATGGAGAGAATGAATGGGATACAGGGGGGACTGACGGAAAGAGACAACTGTACTCATAGAAAGGGGCATAGAAAGTTAAAAATGATGAGAAGACAACAAATGAAAAGTGAAGAGACAGTGAAGGAAAGCAGGCAATAGAGAGCAAAATGGTAAACAGAAGAAGCAAGAGAGACTAGTACAAAATGCTCAGTTAAGGTGATGAAGTCTAATGGCCAGGTCATTTGGTCTGTCTGAGACCTATACTCAGCACAGGACCTGAGGGGAGTATGTCTTTGGTGAAGAAGTAAAGGTGGCTTGGCACTACATTTCCCTCCCCTGTCCTCAATCCTGGGAGCAGTAAGAGAACAGTATGGCTGCTGGTGTAAGTTAGAAGAGCCTCAGGACTGCTCTAACTTATGTAGGCTGCAATGACACTCCACCACCACCTTCCTGAAGACTGTTCCACCAACCCTGGATTGGGGGAGGGATAGCTCAGTGGTTTGAGCATTGGCCTGCTAAACCCAAGGTTGTGAGTTCAATCCTTGAGGGGGCCACTTAGGAATCTGGGGCAAAAATCAGTACTTGGTCCTGCTACTGAAGGCAGGGGGCTGGACTCTATGACCTTTCAAGGTCCCTTCCAGTTCTAGGAGATAGGATATCTCCATTGAGGGGGGGGGGAAAAAAAAAAAAGATTCCAGTCCCCATCTGCTCCTACATGAGGAAGATAGCATAGAGCTGGTTGAGCACCAACAGGAACTCCCCTGCACAAGGAGAATTGCCAGGTGTCCACTTAGGGCAGCATTCCCACTCCTTTGTGCCACTGGAATAGCAGAAAAAGGCCAGACCAGGGGCTGACTATCTGGCCTCAGATTCACAACCGATTCCCTGATTTGTCAAGCAGAGCATGAATAAAGCCCTTATGTTCTTATGAAGGGAGATCTTTTCTCCTGAAATGGTTCTTTATTCGATATGAACAAGATGCAGACAGGCACACTGTAACGGCTTTGGAGGGGAAAAGAGGGGGATTTGTCGTAACAGCAACCATAAAGATCTGAATCAGTGTCCTAGGAGTGGCCTAAAAGGGTGGGAAAGAGGGAAATCATGATAGTGAGAAGTGCTTTACTGAAGGAAAGAACAAATAAAGGGAGGCACTGCTGAAGGAAGGACAGACAATGAGACAGATGGAGAGGATTGTGAACGGAGGGGAGTGGTGGGTTCGGAAGAGAAAGAAGGAAGAGAGGGTACTGTGGCGGGAAATGGAGAGAGTAGGGCAGATGCTCAAGGCTGAAAGTAACAAGGGTTTGTTTCCACACAGAAAACAGGCAGTGGTTAAAGGAGGTTAGGACACTGGGGGAGCTCATGCCATGACCTCTGGCTTTTAGCCAAGGAGTTAAAGATGGTGTCTCTCACACCATTTATTTATCCCTGGAGTACAAGGACCAAAGGAGTGATCCCAGAAAAAGAAGGAGTGTATGAGGCAGAGAGAGAGAGAAATGAGGGGTTTGCTGATGGAAGGAAACAAAAGAAAGAAGGGAAGGGATAACGCTCCTTTATGTCACTTCTCAATCACCTCCCACTCATCTCCTGCCCTAGACAACCTTATTATTTGCCTAGCCTCCACTTCTGCAAAGCCAACCCCTCCCCTCCTCCAGGTCTAGCATGGAGGAGCACCAGGAGCTCACCTGTGCCAACAAACCTCCTACTGGACACCTCACATCCCTGTGTCCTTCAGCCTCTGGGTCCTCGTTCTACCCAGACAACAGAACTGCTATTCCTAGCTCTTTTGGCCACGTGTAACTAATGCATGTTGTACGCAACGAGATTTAAAATTTTCAAAGAATCTTTCAGACAGAAACTACGGCAGAACAGACTTTTCTCCCTCCTCTTCCCACGCCCTAGGCTTTTGATAAGAGCCTAGCAGCAGGCGTTCCACGAAGCTGCCTTTTTTGTTTCCACTTCATAAATTGCTTCCCTATGTACCATATCCATGAAATCAAACTATACGGTAGGAATGAGCTTTCTAAACATTTATGAAATGTTTAAAAAAAAAAAAGCTGCAAGAGGAATTTATGACTCACCAAGGAATTACTAATCTAGGACTGTTCTTCATAAATTATTACATTTGTGTCATGTTTCAGAAATAATGTTAAGATTTTAAACAATTATCTTGGACCTACAGCATGCAGGCCAAAAGATCAATATCACTATGTGTCACCACAGTTACTGACAGAACAAAACAGATAAACAGCCTTCTGTTGGAGATGGAAAATATCAAGTTACCTAGAGAGCTGGATGCTACCCAGGCACCGCGGTTATAAAAAGAGAAGCTAACCTTAAACTATAATGCAGTTATTGACAAAGTATTGTTTCTGTACTCTCCAGATTTCTAATCCATATAGTGCACAATTAAAGGCATTCATACAGTCATACAGTCCTAAGAATTGCAGGAGTTTATAAAATATGCAAGATTGTTTGCAGATTTCCAAGAGTGCAGCTTTATGCCCTCCCATCTCATTTACTTCTAAAAATATTTGGCACAAGAAAAGAAAATGCCTGTATTGTAATTCAATCAGTAGACGGACACTAAACTCTAAAAGATATTACCTCACCCACCTTGTCTCACACAACTTCTCTGATCTAGCCTGTCTGAATTGGTGGTTTAAAATTAGGCACAAGAACATAGGAAAGCCCAAGATTTTCTATGTCTCTCAATAGTCTTCTACCCTTTCAAATGGGGAGATCCCTCAGAATTTTAGGGACAAATTTTGCTGCCAGTTACACATGTGCAACTCTATTTAAATCTACTGATGTAAGTCTATGAGGGGGCATTGGTTGAGATGTTATCCCTTTAGCCAGTAGTACTTTCCTAAACACCACTTTGTGACATGTATTAAGAGATGGACATAAACCCGAAGAGCAGATCTAAATATTTGACATTCAGTATTTGGGGGAATGTTCAGAGCTGGATTGAATTTGGGTCCCAATCTTTGGGAGTCTCTCCCACCCCTGAACATGCTATGGAGTTGCTGCGAGTAACTCGAATGAAGACTCCTTTTTAAAATTGTATGTTATCTGACATTTTAACTGTACTGCAAAGGATTTCATGGCATGGAACAACAGTTGGACAGAAAAGGGCCATTCTTTTGAATATGAAGAACTGTCCGGAATGCAAGATCCTGTTGGGATCCAGGAAGTGGGCGGGTGGAAGCCCACCCACTGCTAAAGGGCCTCCCCCCCAGCCTAAGGGGAGGATCCACACCTAAGAGAATTCCAAGAGAAGTCGGTGACAATTTTACTACTGACTTCATTGGGGCCAGGAAGGCACCCAAAGTGCTGTTGGAGGTCTTTGCAATTATACTTTTTAAGTTTAAATCAATTGGTAAATACAATCTATAGAAATACCATCATAAGTGAACCTAGTAGCACTTCTTGATACCAAGGAAATGGAACATCTAGAACAGGAACATAGGAATTGCTACGGCAACACAGAGTCCAGTATCAAATGCTTCAAAAAAGTTCCAGAAACTCCATAGTACTGTAAAGTATTATAGGGTAACCCACCTACAGAGGAAGCTTCTTCCCAGCCTTCCCCTGCACCCCAATTGCATATGGGTTGGGCTGGTATCTCAAGTGTGAGGTTTGCATACTTTCTACAAAAGATATTCTATTTTAGCTCACGTAGCTGTGGCATTGTCATTATCTATTTAAATGTGTAATTCTATTAGTCTCTTGGTCACAATATCTAGTAGCAGTGAGTTCCACACATTAAAAAAATACTTTCACATACGGCATGATTAATCAATTTTAAATTTGCCTTTAAATGTCATGCAGTGTCCTATTTTATGTTTTCTTGTAATACAAAGGACAAGAGAAGCAACATTCACTATTTTATGCACATCTTAAGGTCCCTCTTATTCATCTTTCTAAATCATGATCTGTTTAGAGAAGAATACAAATAAGTATTTTTGCACTCAAACAACCCACTCAAACTGCAAGTTTGTGACATTTAGAAGTTTTTGTAGCATTCTGACTGTTGCCTAAGCAACAGATGTTCTCTTTAATTACAAGAAATGCATGTACCTTGTTTAATTTGCTGCTCCTCTCCTCCC